AAAGAGAGAGGAAGGAAGGTTTAGCTAATGAAAATAAACTATTATTCAAGGGAATTAGCTGACATGGTAGTGTCAAGATCATGTTAAATGGCTGTCATAATCCAGCAGTCTTAAGTATGGGTAAAATCTAGAGATGAATAAATAATCCTGATTTTAAATTGATCATAGAGGCGTAATAAAACCATCACTATTAGCAATGGGATCCTGTCAAGTGGAGTGTGGACTATAACCCCCTGTCCTCTCACCTCAATCTGTTTGCCCTTAAACACAGCGCTGACGCTGTTGTTAAAGGAGGCCCCAGAGAACATGGAGGTCACAGGGTACGTCAGGTCGAACACCTTCTTGAAGATGGACGTCATGTCCTGGTATTGGAGAGAGAGGTGCAGAGATACATTACGATCAACTTCTCTGGAGCCAAAGACAACGTCTATGTCTTAAACCCTATTCCCTATTTAGTGCACTACTTCTGACTAGTGCCCTGGTCAAAAGTAGTGCACTATATGGAGAATAGGGTACCATTTGGGACTAGGAGAACATCCTCTTATGCATTGAGCCCAGCTCCAGCCGTCCTGTATCTTCTCACCATGGCCCACTCGCGAGCGCGGACCCTCATACGGCGGTTGCTCTTCTCCTCAGCGTACAGCGCCCCCATCAGGGAGCCGATGGAGGTGCCGCCCACCATGTCCACAGGGATGCCTGCCTCATTGAGCGCCCGCAGGATGCCAACCTGACAGCAACCCCTGGATAGAGGGACACGGACCACAGGTAGGTTACACAGAGTCCAAAACATGACACTGGACAATAAGCACAGTCAGTGTGTGAATAAAAGAGGGGGAGAGGGGGAGAGGGGGGACGTTTAGCTTAAGGAAGCTTTTAGTGGACAGTCAAATGGAGCAGTGTTGACGGGACTAGACAATATACCCACCTTGACCCAGCTCCTGGACATGCCAGAGCATAAAGGAAAAAGCACAGAAAGCAGAATAGAAAGACAGAAAAGCCATTATCGAAAGACAGAGGCCTCATAGAAAGGTAGACAGAGGAAAGAGGCATCCAGAGTGAACACTGACACTAACAGCCATACGCTCTCTATACTATAAATATTTACATTATTTAAAGTTAGGCAAAAAACAGGAAAACCAGAGACTATAATCCTAAAAGTATGGTGTTTGAATAATTGCAGTTGTAAAAATCTGTGGCGTAAAAATCGTAATGTGACGACTGCAGATGCCAGATCGAATCAGCTAAAAAGGTAGTAGTGATAGTGCAGCATGTTACATTGGAGTGTGAGGTCTCGAGAGAGATGAGCAGTACCTTGCACCCCCTCCCCCCAGCACCAGGGCGATGGTGTTGCCTGTCAGGACTCTGGCCAGACGGCTGAAGTCAGAGTGGCGGTCTGGAGGCTTCTGGAACGCACGCTGGTACATCTCTCTCTGAGGACGACCACAGCAGGACCACAGGAACACAGGAGCACAGCACCAGAGGTAGAGTGGGAAGAGTCAGCAAATTTGTGATTCGTCCCAATTGGCACCCTCTTCCCTAGTGCACTACTTTTGACCAGAGCGCTATACACTATATAGGGAATAGGGTGCCATTTGGGAAGCAGCCTAGGTCAAGGCTGTCCTTGAAAAGTAATGTTATTTAAGGGCTTCCTTCTGAGACATGCATCATATGAGCAGTGTGAACCAAGCTGCAGGTCAAAAGCCAAGACTGAAAAAGTAGGTTGAATATTGTCTAGTCAGTGAGTGGAGCTGTGACTATTCTGGATGAGGTGTGTGTGTACTAGCTGGGACAGGCTGCTGCTGGATAATCTCACATTTGGGCAGGAGAGATGTGTCTTTGCCTGTGTGTGTGTGTGTGTGTGTGTGTGTGTGTGTGTGTGTGTGTCTTTGCCTGTGTGTGTGTGTGTGTGTGTGTGTGAGCCTGTGTATGTATATAGGGTACCAGTTTGGGCAGGCTCCTCTTGGAGAAGACCCTGTGTGGACAGGAGAGGTGCAGGTGTCTGGAGATCCAGCTCCTCATGTTGAGCCACTCCACAGTGCCCTGAGGCGGGGGACCGTCCTCCCTGTGCAGCAGGATCAGCTGCTTCTGGGCCCGCACTGCACTGCCCTCCAGCATCTGCTCCAACTAGGGGACAGAGGCCACAGCACAGGGACAACAGGGTCACACCCAAGTGGAGGAGAGCTAAGTTAAGGTTCAATCCCAAATGGCACGCTATTCTCTATGTAGGCCACTACTTTTGACCAGGGCCCATAGGTAGTAGTGGACTATAGAGGGAATAGGGTGCCATTTGGGATGCATGCCAAATTATGTCCTATTTCTTATGTAATGCACTATTGGACCAGATCCATGTGTTCAAGCATACAGTTGCTTTATAAGTCGTGCACTGTATAAGAGGGATTGGGTGTCATTTGATATTTGTCCTTCATGTCAATCAGATAGCAGAGAATAAAAGAGACAAGCCTTGTTGATCTTCTTCCTCATTAAGCTTCAGTAATTTAACCCCTAATAAACTGTCTAACTAATAGGGGTCCATCCTAGCGAAGCTAATTAAGAAGCCATTTAGACTTCACTATTCCCCACCTACACTCAGTAGACTCTTAACCAGTTTTCCCACTTCATAGAGATTGCATTAAACAAAGTAAGCCCTCGACTTTCCTAATTCCCATTAGGCAGATAGGGTTCTATAGGTATATGTCGCTTTTTATTGAGTTGCACTTCTTGGCCAGGTCTTCTGACCTCAATGGGACTTCCCGGTTAAATAAAAGGTTAAAGAAAACAGGCAGAGGTGTTGCTGTGCATTTTGTACCTCGCCCACGGTTGGCTCGGCCTCTCCCAGTCCCACGATGATGATGCAGTCGGCCTGGCGGATGCAGCGCTGGGTCCAGGGGGTCAAGGTATCGTCTGATTGGTAGAGAACGATGCGGTGGATATCCTCCTGCTGCCCCAGCCAGCTGGACAGACGGTACTCATGCACACTATAGAGGAGAGGGTTGAGATGTGTGTATCCTTTAAAAAGTGTTTCCATCAACTATGACAACCAGCTGATCTTGACACAAATATGCTAAATCGGACAAGACAGTGCATAACTGAAATGATGACATCATTTCTACCTGTCCAGTGCGGCAGCACCCAGTCGCTGTTTGATGATGTCACTGGTCAAGAGTAAGGTTGGACCTAAAGGACCAACAGAAATAAAATGGTACATACTGAATGTTGACCAGCAAGCTATAGTGAAAAAGAATTAGTAGTAGTAGTTCACGTATTAGTCCAACAACATCTGCTGTTTGAGTCACTGGGAGTGGTGAAGCAGGACTAGTAGTAGTGATATGTACCAATGGCACTGAGTGCATGCTGCAGCTCCAATGTGAAGGCTGTAAGAGGCACCTCCTCTGACACAGGCAGGATGGTCACAGTGGACAGGTTAGAGGCCGGGCTCCCTGAATCCCACTTACTGCTGGGGGGGTGTAGTGCCAGACCACGAGCTACAGTAGAGGAAGGAAGACAGAGGCATCGCTGATACACCATGGGTGGTTGACACAGACAAAATACAAGAACAAACACGCACACACACATACACACTTATGCATGCACGCAAACACACACACACTGTCCCCATGACACACACATTTTAAATGTACTCTAACCTGTCAAGGGTCCGTTAACCTGCTGCATATTTCCCAGGATCTTCTGTCCCAGTAGATGGATGAGTCTGGTCACTACCTGTGGATACCTCCTCTTGATGGAGCTGAGGGCCCCCTCAGGCAGCTTGGCTAGCTCAGAGTCCCTGATGGCGTGCACTGTAGTGGCTCGGTTCATGTGGGTCAGGGCCTCCACCTGAGGACACCACACAAGTTCTATGAACAACAGTTAGTCAAGGGTTCCATCTCTTGAAGTTAAATTAGCCTGATCCCAGATTTGTTTGTGCTCTTCACAACTCATTGTCACTCATTGTCAAGCCATGACAATGGGTGACAAGGAATTGACATGATAGCACAAACAGATCTGGGACCAGGCTAGAGTTAAATACATAAACCATAAAGAATATGGGATTATAGAGCACTCACCACCCCTATGAGGTCACCGCGACCATACTCTCCAGTCAACTCCTTCTTCCCATCATCCTTTGCGATGACAGAACGCAGGCGGCCACTGAGGACGATGAAGGTGCTGTCCGACTTGTCTCCCTGCCTAGGAACAGTTGGATGCAGCAGTTAGACAGAGGAACAGATAGACCAGGGTATTCAAATCTTACTCTACGAGGTCCGGAGCCTGCTGGTTTTCTGTTCTACCTGATAATTAATTGCACCCACCTGGTGTTCCAGGTCTAAATCAGTCCCTCAGAGGGGAAGAATGAAAAAAAGCAGTGGAACTGGCTTTGAGGTCCAGATTTGAATTTGAGGGAGATTGAGGATATGAGACCATTCAGCATAGAGATCCTATAATTCACTGACCAAGATGGACGATTTTTTGTCATGTTGCTAGGATGCCTATGTCCATTCTAGTGTTCTATACGTACTTCTATGCTATTCAGCATGTACCTGTAGACAGCGCGGCCAGCCTCCAGAGCCATCCAGTCCAGAGCAAAGTCTATCTGCCTGACGAAGCCTGACACTCTCTTCACCACGGTGTGAGCCACATTCAGCACCACCCTTGGCTCTTCGCGCATTATCCTACATAGACACACATTCACATATTCAGACAGCAACTACTGTGCACAAAAACATGCACACCAACAGGGGGGCCTCTGGGACAAATATGAGAATTACAGTGACAACACTGCCATCAGACATCGAGAGTGTGTGTGTGTGTGTGTCTGTACACAAGGAAAATGGCATACTCATAGAAGGCAGCTTTAGAGATAGACAGGAAGGTGCAGTCCCTGTGTGCTCGGACGCTGAAGATGAGGGGTTCCCCAGTCAGCACAGCCAAATGACCCACCATCTCCCCCGGGTGGGTCAGAAACAGCAGGGTGTCCTCCTCACAGTCGATCATCCGCTGGTACACATGGAGTGCCCCCGAGATCACAAACTGCACACTCACATCCTACCAGAGGGAACAGACGGCACAGGGAGATACAGATATACATAATGTCAATGGGTGTGTCCCAAATGGCACCCTATTCTCTACTATTGACTAGAGCCCTGGTCAGAAGTAGTGCACTATATAGGGAGTAGTGCCTTTTGACACGCATAAATGAACCACTTATAACATGCAGTTATAAGACAAATGACTTTGACCGTTTCTGCCAGTGCTGCTGACAGAGAAGAAGCAGATGTTTTACTGAGGTGAGCTCTAGCCTCAGGGCTATGTGTAAAGGCTATGTCTACCACCATCAGGCAGCATGCAGACAGACTGACTGACTGACCTGGTCCCCCTGGCTGTTCAACACACAGCCAGCTTTGACCTGACGCAGAGTCACCCTGCCCTCCAGCAGATTTGGGTCCTGACAGAAAGAGGGAGAGAGATAGGGATGGAGGAGAGGGTCAGAAAATATGGCAGGAATGTCCAAACTCCTGCACTGTGTGCAGCTTCTGTTCCAGCCCAGCTCCTGATGAAGAATAAACAGTCGTCCATCTGGACTGTGATTAGTTGAATCAGGTGTTAGTTCTGGACTGGAACAAAAGCCTGCACATACTGTGGCTCTCCGGGGCCAGAGTTAGAGAGTCCTGCTAGATGTGTTCTAGTCTATACCGAGACCCAGAGAGAGCCATTCAGTACCTGCAGTTGTATGAGGCGCTGCAGGTCCTTCTTGGCAGCCTGGAAGATGGCGTTGACCTTGCTGTGGTGGATGTGACCTGACTGACCTCCTCCAACCTCAGAGTAGTGAAACACAGCAGATGGAGTGTGCACCATTGTCACACTCTTCTTCAGAATGGACTGATGAATGAAAGGGAGAGAGTGGAGGGGGGAGAGAGAGTGGGGGCAGTGAGTATGGCCTTGCTATGGAGAGAGGTTGCCATAGGCAGACTTGGCTCTCACAAGAAGATAGGCTATGTGCCCACTGCCCACAAAATGAGATGGAAACTGAGCTGCACTTCCTAACCTCCTGCCAAATGTTTGAGCATTTAGGGACACATATTTCCCTCAGATTACACAGACCCACAAAGAATTTGAAAACAAATCCAATCTTGATAAACTTCCATATCTATTATGTGAAATACCACAGTGTGCCATCACAGCAGCAAGATTTGTGACCTATAAATAAATACAAACTATATGCATCTGTTTATGTATTGTTACAACACTGTTACATAGCCAATAATATAACATTTGAAATGTCTATATACTTTTAAACTTTTGTGAGTTTAATGTTTACTGTTAATTTCTGATTGTTTATTTCCATTGTTTATTTCCCTTTTGTTTATTTCAATTGCTTCGGCAATGTAAACATATGTTTCCGATACCAATAAAGCCCTTTGAATTGAATTGAATTGAGAGAGGGGGGAGAGAGGAAGAGTCAGAGAGAGAGTCAGAGACAGATAACTAGGAATGCCTCTGACTCTCTATGTATCTTATGTACGTTATTACACTGACATGTGTCTGGTAAATCTGCAGTGCATCACAGACCTTGTGTGGGACCTGGGGACTTGGTGGTGGTGTGTCTGCTTTAGCCGCTTCTTCTCTTATTCTGGCTCGCTGATATGCCATGTTGAGGTCAGCCGATGTGGCACCTGAGAGTGTGAGGAGAGAGACAAAAAGCATTCAGACACACAGACCAGGGCTTGTACAGTACCGGGCCGAATTCACAAAACACTACTTACGCAAAAACGTAAGAAACTTCTTGAGAAAAAAAAAAAGAAGTTCATAAGATAGTTTGTAAGTGCAATTACTCAACAATATCTTAAGATTTACAGTACAGTTCAGGTCACTACTATGTGGTCTGACCTGTGTGTGTGTGTGTGTGTGTGTGTGTGTGTGTGTGTGTGTGTGTGTGTGTGTGTGTGTGTGTGTGTGTGTGTGTGTGTGTGTGTGTGTGTGTGTGTGTGTGTGTGCGAGGTAATGTATGCTTACTTGACACTGCCAAAGGAGTGGACTGGGAGCGAGACCTCTTTCCTTTGGTGGTTGGGCTGCTATCTGAAAGACAGGAGTTCCTCTCTCCATTTTCTAAAACAACACCATACAGCTATACCATGAGTATGTCCTGCTTTCCAGCAAGCCACCATTCTTCATAGTGACATAACATAACAACCTCCAAACTTATCCATCTGTATTCATATTTTTATGATATGGTAATCCAAATGTAATACAGACAAAATGCAGACAAGGGTTGCAAATTTCCAGTAACTTTCCCAAAATACCCAGGTTTTCCAGAAACCCCACTTGGAGGATTCCTAGATTTCCTGCTTATTCCCTCCTGATTCTTCCAACTGGGATTTTTTTTTTTAGGGAAAGTTACTGAAATGTTTGGAACCCTATGCAAAACCAAAGCTAAAATGAACATTGGTTTCTATGCTGGCATTGACCAGTGAGATGACCATCCCATAATAACTGACCTGTGTCGCTGGGCCCCTTCTCATGGCCAGACTCATCAGACCGGGAGTGCTGTCTGTCTCGACCCCTGTTCGGGTTGGCTTCACCTATCACACTGTGCACTGCCACCAGGGGGATTGCCTGGCTCTCCTGAAAGACACACATGGAACACACACACACACAGAACCATCAGGAGTATACATCCCCTTCAAAGATGAAATAACCAGTCATGGATAATCTTTCATTATTGATGTGTCTGTGGCCTGTGTGTGTGTGTGTGTGTGTGTGTGTGTGTGTGTGTGTGTGTGTGTGTGTGTGTGTGTGTGTGTGTGTGTGATACCGCATTGAAGAGCTCGGTGGTAAGGCCTAGGTAGTTGTGAAGGGCTAGGAAGGTCACTCTCTGCAGGCGTACCATGATGATCTAGAAAGGACAAAAACAAAAAAGTAACAATGGCCCCACTGTTTTAGTAAAGAGAGCAGAACCCTGAAAATGTCTGAAAATACAAAATGCTCAGTGATGTTGTTTTTAAGGTTTAGCTGTGTAGCTACAGAATAATGTCACAGTTGCCTACAAACCAGGCAAGGGTGTAATCTCCAGTATTTGAGTGAATTATATAATGTCTGATTTCCCTGTGTACAGACCGCATCCCAGATGGCACTCTATTCCCTTTTTAGTACATTACTTTTGACCAGAGCTATATGGGCCCTGGTCAAAAGTTGTGATTATAGAAAGTCTACACCCCCTTTAACTTTTTGCACATTTTGCTGCCTTAAAATTAAATGTAAAAAGGGATTAACTTAGATGTATTTCCTACAGATCTACACAACCTACCGCAAGACAACACGGCAAATAAATTAACTTTAATTTAAAACTACAGGGTTGGGTCAAATCCAATATTGTGGTGGTGGCAGAAACACGTTATGGGTATGCTTGTCATCGGCAGGGATTGGGGAGTTTGTCATGATCAAAATAAATATGAAGTGAGCAAAGCCCAGGAAAAAAGTTAGAGGAAAACCTGCCTCTCTCTTCTGAAAACCTAACATTGGGATAGAGTTTTATTTTCAGCGAGACAATTACACACATTTTAATGCAAGAAATACACCCCAGAATGGCTTTCCAAGAGGTGTTGAGTGTTCCTGAGTGGTCTAGTCTCAGTCCTGAATTAAATCTGCTTAAAAAAAATCAAAGACAAGGTTTGAATATTGCTGTCCATCAGTGATTCCCAACCAAATTTAACGAGCTTCAGCAATTTTGACAAAAACAATGTATGTATGTTTGTTGCATTAAGAGTTGTGCAAAGTTGGTCAAAACTTATTCAAAATGACTCATAGCTGTAATGGCTGCCTAAGGTGCTTCCACCAAGTATTAACTCAGGGGGATGGAGACTTTCAGTTTTTTATTTTGATTTATTCATTTGAAAACAATTCTATAACTTTCTTTCACTTTGAAAATGTGGAGTAGGTTGTGTAGATCTGTAGGAAAAAAATCTGATTTCATCAATTTTTTTATTTAATTTTAAGGCAGGTCTAGACAAGGGGGTCTAGACTTTCTATAGGCACTGCACAGGGAATAGGGTGCCATTTGGGTCGCATCCTAGGTCAGTCTGTCACTGATAGTAGCAGTACCTGGATAACGCGGACCAGAGTATCTGGATATTTCTCAAACACAGAGTGGAAGGCAGCAGCTGGAAGACGCAGTATGGTAGAAGGGGTTGCAGCTCTGGCAGATACAGTCTTGTAGGGGGCTGAGTGACCCTAGGATGCATAGGGGGGTAGAGGACGAGAAGTGGTGGCTGGTGACACTTTAAATCGGAGGACAGGCTCATTGTAATTGCATGAATGGAATCAATGGAACGGTCTCAAACACATCAAACACATGGTTTTCCATTCCAGCCATTACTACGAACCGTCCGCCCCTCACCAGCCTCCTGTGTCTTAGGTACTTATCAGAGTGCAGTGGATACATAAACATGCGCTAACTGAATAAGAGGGTAAATGAGAGTGGAAAGTGTAACGTACAGTGATGACATCCAGGATACTGAGCAGACTGTGGACACTGTCTCCTGGAAACACTTCCTTTACCACCACATCTGTCCCATCCTATAACAACAAAATACATTTCATTTGCATTTGACTATCAAACTGTAGGTACATAATACAAGTAGTTGTAAATGCAGCGTAATGGGTGAGATCACGTCCCCTCATGATCTTGGGGCGAAACGTTTGACAAAGATGGAATACAATTTATTTTCTATCTGAGTGCGGACCTTCCTCAATTTCCTATTCATGATGAGGTGAAATAACATTGGCTCCAGCAACAGATAGATATAGCATGTAGGGATCTTACACTCTCATGTATGCAGAGCTCCAGACGGCCATCTTGCACCACGTAGATGCTGTCGTCGATGTCCCCGGGACGAAAGAGTGGCTCCATCTCGTGGAGCTGCACAAACACCATGTGACGGCACAGCTCCAGGAACAGAGGCTTCTCAAAGTGGCCCAGGACCCTGGACACAGCACAAAGACCATAGTGGAATGGATTACACAGGGGTTATCATTTATAAGCCTTGCTAAAACAACTGTTGGTAATTCAGCACCTTACAACATGACAACCCATCATTTGCTCAGTCTAGATGAGGGACACTCTGGTTTTAGTTTTTACCTGGTAGTTAATTGCACTCACCAGGTGCCCCGGGTCTAAATCAGTCCCTGACCAAAGGGTAAGAATTAAAAATAATCAGTGGAACTAGACTGGAGGTCCATATTTGAGTGTTCCTAGTCTAGGTGTTTACGTGTTTGCGGTTCCCTTGCCTGACGTTCTTGAGCATGTAGAGCACCTCAGAGGGCAGGTGAGAGTTCTGCACGTCAAACTCTGTGAGGTCAGCCTCCAGCAAAGAGGGAGGGGGCTCCTTAGCCACCAGGGTGGGGGGCTCCCTCCTAATGTGCAGTATTCTGGGACACAGAGTGGGTTAGTGCATGGTGTTTAAACTCATCCTTAAAACATACAAACTCGTTCAAATTGTTCACCATCAGAAAAAGAGAGGTTATCACTTCAGGTATCATCTGAATACACAGTGTAGACATGACTCACTTTCGTGCTATAGACAGGACTTTGGTTCTCTTCCTGATTCGCTGCTTCTGTGACTCTGAGGTAGAGGTAGGGGTTGAGGTAGATGACAAGGTCTGCACCTGGTACGGTAAAAAACAGGAGGCGATGTTTTAGTTGAAATCAATTCTGTGTAGCTAGGCTTGTGAAACCAGCCTGATCTCGCAATAGCTCACATTCTAACGAGTGAAGTGAAATGAAATTAAACCTGTCTGCTTGAGTGGTCAGTCTGCATGACCAGTGGTTGGTCTGCTTAACCAGTGGTTGGTCTGCTTAACCAGTGGTTTGGTCTGCTTAACCAGTGGTCAGTCTGCTTGACCAGTGGTCAGTCTGCTTGACCAGGCTACAGCAGAGCCTAACATACAGGTAATATCCTGTATCTCTATGTGCTATTTATACTGAAAATGACACCAAACTGTTATGGGAGACTCTCTAGACAAAATGTGTGAGGGATTGCCTGATGGAGTGGGACTGACCTTTCTCATGATCTTTCTGCCATAAAACATAACTTTGTCTCTTTTCCTAAAGCGATAGTGAGGCTGCTGCTCCTCTGAAAAACACATACAGCACATACAGGTACATGTCATGAACACATAGGCCTAAACGGCTGTTAAAGCTAAATTACCTTCTTTGGTTTATTACAATGTGACGAACTTGAACAATGTTCACTATTTTACTGGTTTGAAATATTTGCCTGTATATACAGCATTTATTATTAATAGTATTTTATAGATAAAGGTAGTTTGGTACAACAACTGATTATAAATAAATACAAACAAAAAAATCAAATAGCTCTTCATTTATGAGAGAATGGAGGCAGGAAGTACTGACTGTACTGCTTGTATCTTCTGTAGAAGAAAAGAACGACCATGCCGATGAGAGACACTGCCAACACAGCCAGAACAGCTACGATCAGCACACCAGTCCACTGGGAGGGGAAAAGAAGATGATTATTAGGTGTGGACCAAACCACATCCACACTGACATCTAATATCTAGGCTACGGGGTTGTCCCAAATGGCACCCTATTACATACAGTACCAGTCAAAAGTTTGGACACACCTACTCATTCCAGGATTTTACTTTATTTTTTACTATTTTCTACATTGTAGAATAATAGTGAAGACAACAAAACTATGAAATAACACATATGGAATCATGTAGTAACCAAAAAAGTGTTAAACAAATCAAAATATATTTTATATTTGAGATTCTTCAAATAGCCACCCTTTGCCTTGATGACAGCTTTGCACACTCTTGGCATTCTCTCAACCAGCTTCACCTGGAATGCTTTTTCAACAGTCTTGAAGGAGTTCCCACATATGCTGAGCACTTGTTGGCTGCTTTTCTTTCACTCTGCGGTCCGACTCATCCCAAACATCTCAATTTGGTTGAGGTCGGGGAATTGTGGAGGCCAGGTCATCTGATGCAGCACTCCATCACTCTCCTTCTTGGTAAAATAGCCCTTACACAGCCTGGAGATGTGTTGGGTCATTGTCCTGTTGAAAAACAAATGATAGTCCCACTAAGCCCAAACCAGATGGGATGGCGTATCGCTGCCTTGAATTCTAAATAAATCACTGACAGTGTCACCAGCAAAGCACCCCCACACCATCACACCTCCTCCTCCATGCTTTACGGTGGGAAATACACATGCAGAGATCATCCGTTCACCCACACGGCGTCCCACAACGACATGGCGGTTGAAACCAAAAATCTCCAATTTGGACTCCAGACCAAAGGACAGATTTCCACAGGTCTAATGTCCATTGCTCGTGTTTCTTGGCCCAAGCAAGTCTCTTCTTATTATTGATGTCCTTTAGTTGTGGTTTCTTTGCAGCTATTCGACCATGAAGGCCTGATTCACACACATTTGATGTTGAGATGGCCATGAAGGCCTGATTCCTCTGAACATTTGATGTTGAGATGTGTCTGTTACTTGAACTCTGTGAAGCGTTTATTTGGGCTGCAATTTCTGAGGCTGGTAACTAATGAACTTATCTTCTGCAGCAGAAATAACTCTGGGTCTTCCATTCCTGTGGCGGTCCTCATGAGAGCCAGTTTCATCATAGTGCTTGATGGTTTTTGCGACTGGACTTGAAGAAACTTTCAAAGTTCTTGACATTTTCCGGATTGACTGACCTTCATGTCTTAAAGTAATGATGGACTGTGATTTATCTTTGCTGTTCTTGCCATAATATGGACTTGGTCTTTTACCAAATAGGGCTTTCTTCTGTATACCCCCCCTACCTTGTCACAACACAACTGATTGGCTCAAACGCATTAAGAAGGAAAGAAATTCCACAAATTATCTTTTAAGAACGCACACCTGTTAATTGAAATGCATTCCAGGTGACTACCTCATGAAGCTGGTTGAGAGAATGCCAAGAGTGTGCAAAGCTGTCATCAAGGCAAAAGGTGGCTATTTGAAGAATCTCAAATATAAAATATATTTTGATTTCTTTAACACTTTTTGGGTTACTACATGATTCCATATGTGTTATTTCATAGTTTTGATGTCTTCAATTTTATTCTACAATGTAGAAAATAGTAAAAAATATTGAAATGTTCTAAAACTTTTGACCGGTAGTGTATATATGATATCCAACTAAGCTTAGATGTCCACCAAATAGGCTGTCACAATGTTAACACAATGTTAAGAGAAGCCTGGGGATCCAAATACAGTAAATGTCTTGTTTAATGTCTTGAATATATCGTGTATTCGGAAAGTATTCAGACCCCTTGACGTTTTTCCACATTTTGTTAAGTTACAGCCTTATTCTTTTGACTGGTAGTGTATATAATGCACTACTTTTGACCAGAGCCCTAGTAGACCTCCACTTTATAGGGAATAGGGTGCCATTTCGGATGCAGCCTCAGTAGGCTGCTGGCATGGTGATCTAAGAACAGTCACAACAGCACTGTTCACAGATTCAGAGCTGGAAAGAAGAGTGATGGGTAGCTACCTACCAATGGCAATGGCATAGGAGTCTCTGTTCTGTCCTCCATCCAATGTTGCATCCTGGCCTTGATTTCACTGCCAAGTGGCACCAGGCTCTACAAAACAAGCCGGAAACCAACATTCGTCAGATGTGTATTCATGACCAGGCATCAAGAAGGTTAAGCCTAGATAGAGGAATGGAATCAAACACTGTGTAATAGACAGAGCAGTAGACACTATTGACTCATGGAATGGGTGGGAGACTTAGAACTGGTTTTATTACCGGGTATATACTGCAGCTGTCCTCATCTTTGTCATCCACCTTGTCATCCATTCCTGGCCAAAAAAGGCAAATAGTGTACATGAATTTTCCAAGTCACAGTGGAAGAGACTGTAGAAAATAGGCCTAATAAAAAGGAGCACTATGTGAATTCTTGAACACCTAAAACCATTAAGGCAAAACATCCCCTAACAAAACTGACACAAATGAGAAAGTAATATATTGCAAATGAGAACACTGGATCACTCACTGACTGTAGTGACCTTCTTGATCCAAACCAGTCAGGTTTCAAGACTGGTCATTCAACTGAGACTGCTCTTCTCTGTGTCACGGAGGCTCTCCGCACCGCTAAAGCTAACTGTCTCTCCTCTGCTCTTGTCCTTCTAGACCTGTCTGCTGCCTTTGATACTGTGAACCATCAGATCCTCCTCTCCACCCTCTCCGAGCTGGGCATCTCCGGCACGGCTCACTCTTGGATTGCGTCCTACCTGACCGGTCGCTCCTACCAAGTGGCGTGGCGAGAAGCTGTCTCCGCACCACGTGCTCTCACCACTGGTGTCCCCCAGGGCTCAGTTCTAGGCCCTCTCCTATTCTCGCTATACACCAAGTCACTTGGCTCTGTCATATCCTCACATGGCCTCTCCTATCATTGCTACGCAGACGACACACAACTAATCTTCTCCTTTCCCCCTTCTGATAACCAGGTGGCGAATCGCATCTCTGCATGTCTGGCAGACATATCAGTATGGATGACGGATCACCACCTCAAGCTGAACCTTGGCAAGACGGAGCTGCTCTTCCTCCCGGGGAAGGACTGCCCGTTCCATGATCTCGCCATCACGGTTGACAACTCCGTTGTGTCCTCCTCCCAGAGTGCGAAGAGCCTTGGCGTGACCCTGGACAACACCCTGTCGTTCTCCGCTAACATCAAGGCGGTGACCCGATCCTGTAGGTTCATGCTCTACAACATTCGGAGAGTATGACCCTGCCTTACACAGGAAGCGGCACAGGTCCTAATCAAGGCACTTGTCATCTCCCGTCTGGATTACTGCAACTCGCTGTTGGCTGGGCTCCCTGCCTGTGCCATTAAACCTCTACAACTCATCCAGAATACCGCAGCCCGTCTGGTGTTCAACCTTCCTAAGTTCTCTCACGTCACCCCGCTCCTCCGCACACTCCACTGGCTTCCAGTTGAAGCTCGGATCTGCTACAAGACCATGGTGCTTGCCTACGGAGCTGTGAGGGGAACGGCACCTCCGTACCTTCAGGCTCTGATCAGTCCCTACACCCAAACGAGGGCATTACGTTCATCCACCTCTGGCCTGCTGGCTCCCCTACCTCTGCGGAAGCACAGTTCCCACTCAGCCCAGTCAAAACTGTTCGCTGCTCTGGCACCCCAATGGTGGCTCCCTCACGACGCCAGGACAGCGGAGTCACTCACCACCTTCCGGAGACATTTGAAACCCCACCTCTTTAAGGAATACCTGGGATAGGATAAAGTAATCATTCTACACCCCCCTTACCCCCCCCCCCCCCCCCCCAAAAAAAAAGAAAACATTGTAAAGTGGTTATCCCACTGGCTATAAGGTGAATTCACCTATTTGTAAGTCGCTCTGGATAAGAGCGTCTGCTAAATGACGTAAATGTAAATGTAAAATGTAGTCACAGAGTGTACTGCCAGTGTGTCTGTCTGCACCTGGTCTGCACTCTGTAACCAGACACCCACTGGCCACTGCACATGCATACTTGAATAGACTCACCCACAAGCAAGTAGAAAGTCATAGGCTACTACACTACACACCCTGAGCCTGTATCTGTGCGCTAGAGACCTCTCACACAGATACTGGTTCATACACACCCCAGTAAACAGATTGTTCATGACAGGAATCAAATAGGGCCTAGTATCCTGACTATATCAAATTTGCCTGATCTAGCCTAGATAATAATAAGCCATTTAGCAGACGCTTTTATCCAAAACGACTTACAGTCATGCGTGCATACATTTTTTTGTGTATGGGTGGGTCCCGGGGATCGAACCCACTACCTTGGCGTTACAAGCGCCGTGCTCTACCAGCTGAGCTACAGAGGACCACATTAGATCATCAAATACTGAGCAGGTGCATGGCAGGCTTAATTTCAAGATCTGGATTTATGGTATTTTCCTCTAACTGTGCCCTTATATTGATCAACAAACCCATCACGGACAGACACAAAGTCAATTCGCACAGGTATGACACTACTAACGTTGCCCTTGCCTTAAATAGCTATGATGTATCTACGACATAAATATGGAAGAATACGATCACATTTCCAATCAGTTACGTTTAATCCCAGTTATTAAATTGGAGTTCATAGATTCAGGCAGTCGACGGCTATATGGCAGATTTGTGTCACTGCCACACAGAGCTCAATGGACTGACAGGCAAACAGACAAAGTCCCGTTATGCCGACTTGCCCAATGCCCATTGACACCCCTTCTGTAGCCATGCAGTCAAATAAACACAAAGGATTTAGACTGCACTACATGGTTAAATGAAAAGATTAGCAACAATAATATACTTACTGGCTCGTATTACCTAACGTTCCACTATCTCCACTGTCAAAGTTTTGTGTACATATGCGATGTCTTTCATGACTCACTGCCAGTATCTGGAATTCCAATTGGCTACCACTGACTGAATCAAACCAATCACAAAACGTTTTATTCTGACGTCGGGGTCTTCGAGTGCGTCTATTTTCCAGTGAGTGTTTTCAAGGTGAGTGTAGCAATAGATTTTCCACATATTATCACTAAAGTGATATTAATCGTCATGTAGTGCTTACCGTGCTTTCTACTCAAATGTGAATCTACTTCAACAATGTCCGTACAGCTATTTAGAAACCGAGAGTCAGAGTGTGTTGTTGACCCATGTGTTTTGCTAGCAAACATTGTAGAGAACAATGTCCAGACGTTTTTCTCAATTAATATCTTCAGGTTGCTAGAATTACAAAATGGAACGTGTTAATGTGTGTCATGTTTACAACAATGATGTATATAAACCCTGGATTGTTGATGCTATGTATTGGCCAGTGAGAGGCTTTGAAGCTACCGGGCGGCATTTTGGCATTAGAAGAAGCCCATGTTGAAGCCAATGTAATTCTACAGTATTTCAATTAAAGTGGCAATATGTAACTTTTTGGGCGACCTGACCAATTTCACATAGAAATGTGAGTCATAGATCTATCATTCTATTTGAAAGCAAGTCTAAGAAGCTGTCTATGTGCACTGTTTCTATGCTTCCAGTTGTTAAGTTTTGTTTTTGCGTCTTTTACTATTGGTTTTGTACACCGGCTTCAAACAGCTGAAACAACAATATTGTTGGTTATGGAAACTATTTTTCACATCGGTTTAGATGGTACAATGATTCTCTACACTATACTAGTTTATTTTGTCACATAAACTGAAATTAGGTAAACTATTAGAATTTAAACAACCAGGAAATGGCGGCGTGCTTTCGGCATAGTTCAAATGTTAAGTATTTTTTGTTGTTGTAGTGGGGACAGTAACATTAGAACTTTAAAAACAATTATACTTTAAGGAAAATGTTTTTATATATTATTTGTTTTGCTCGCATAATATAACTTAAAAGTATGCATTAAGGTATATGTAATAGAATAAACGTGGCAAAAACAAATGTACAGCTTCCAAAATATTGTTTTACTATAGTGGGGAAGTGCCAAGATGGAGGTGTGGTGGCTTCAAAACAGTGCCCCCTGTTCGTACGTGATCTAGTGTACAGTTGAAGTCGGAAGTTTACATACACTTTAGCCAAATACATTTAAACTACATTTTCACAATTCCTTACATTTAATCCTAGTAAAAATGTCCTGTCTTAGGTCAGTTAGGATCACCACTTTATTTTAAGAATGTGAAATGTCAGAATAATAGTAGAGAGAATGATTTATTTGAGCTTTTATTTCTTTCATCACATTCCCAGTGGGTCAGAAGTTTACATAAGCTCAATTAGTATTTGGTAGCATTGCCTTTTAAATTGTTTAATTGGGTCAAACGTTTCGGGGAGCCTTCCACAAGCTTCCCACAATAAGTTGGGTGAATTTTGGCCCATTCCTCCTGACAGAGCTGGTGTAACTGAGTCAGGTTTGTAGGCCTCCTTGCTCGCACATGCTTTTTCAGTTCTGCCCACACATTTTCTATAGGATTGAGGTCGGGGATTTGTGATGGCCACTCCAATACCTTGACTTTGTTTTCCTTCAAACATAACAATGGTCATTATGGCCAAACAGTTCTATTTTTGTTTCATCAGACCAGAGGACATTTCTCCAAAAAGTACGATCTTTGTCCCCATGTGCGGTTGCAAACCGTAGTCTGCCTTTTTTATGGCGGTTTTGGAGTAGTGGCTTTTTCCTTGCTGAGGGGCCTTTCAGGTTATGTCGATATAGGACTTATTTTACTGTGGATATAGATACTTCTGTACCTGTTTCCTCCAGCATCTTCACAAGGTCCTTTGCTGTTGTTCTGGGATTGATTTGCACTTTTCGCACCAAAGTACATTCATCTCTAGGAGACAGAACGCGTCTCCTTCCTGAGCGGTACGACGGCTGCGTGGTCCCATGGTGTTTATACTTGTGTACTATTGTTTGTACAGATGAACGTGGTACCTTCAGGCATTTGGAAATTGCTCCCAAGGATGAACCAGACTTGTGGAGGTCTACAGTTATTTTTTTGAGGTCTTGGCTGATTTATTTAGATTTTCCCATGATGTCAAGCAAAGAGGCACTGAGTTTGAAGGTAGGCCTACATCCACAGGTACACCTCCAATTGACTCAAATGATGTCAATTAGCCTATCAAAAGCTTCTAATGCCATGACATCATTTTCTGGAATTTTCCAAGCAGTTTAAAGGCACAGTCAATTTAGTGTATGTAAACTTCTGATACAGTGAATTATAAGTGAAATAATCTGTCTGTAAACAATTGTTGGAAAGATTACTTGTGTAAGTAAGTAAACCGATTTGCCAAAACTATAGTTTGTTAAAAATAAATTTGTGGAGTGGTTG